AAATTTTTTTTTTAAGTATTTATATCTCAATTAGTTTATAAATATTTTTGTATGTCAATACGTCTTATTATTTAGATATTTGATCCACTAAATTCTAATTCTCATATTTAAGGTATTTTATGAATATTTTTACTCTTACAAATATTTTTTGAACGGTTAATAATTTGGTAATGTGAACATTTATATTTTACAATGTGAACATTCACATTAACGAACATTTACACTGTAAATGTGAATATTATTATTCAACAACGCCCACTTAGTACACATTAATGTGTGTTTGGGAGGGTAAATTATTATTCAACAACGCCCACTTAGTACACATTAATGTGTGTTTGGGAGGGTAAAGATTGAGTCCACACCTAACCTTTGGCATAATACACAAAGTGGTGGTCCCAAGACTTGAACCCATAAACTTAAGGTTATTAGGCCAAGTCTTAACCATTTAACCATAACCTCAAGGTTATTATTAGGGATATTTTTATAATTATGTCATCTTGAGGACTTATTGAGACATAAGAAAATAATGTGAATTAAATGGAACATAAGTAAAACGAAATTTATAAAAAAAATGCCCCATAATTTTATTAAAATAGAAAATACTTATTTTACTTCATTTTTAAATTCAAGCTGTTAAATTATGTATTTTACTAATGTTTTGTATTATGACGAAAAACACACAAATCACTTTATTTGGTTGAATTTTCAATATATGTATTGTGTTTAGAAACTAATTTGGTAAAAAAAAATAAAAAAAAAATTATCATAATTTTCACTTTTTTAGGCAAAAATAATTTTTAGAAATTTAAAAATACATTTTATGTTTATTTTGGCAAAATTAATTTTTATTTTTTGAAAAATAAAAAATAATCTAAAAACTTGAGATTTTTATCCGGAGATTTTTAGTAATCTTAGGATATATGCATGTGATGTTTCAATTTACTCTTATTAGTTTAATTTTAAATAATAAGATTCATCATTTTTGTATTAATTTTTTAAAAATAATATAAAAAAATCTCATCATTCTTATGTAACATTCTCTTTTTTTGGAACAAAAATAAATTTTTAATATTTATTTTTATCAAATCAATTTCTATTATTAACAAATAAAAAATAGGATAAATTATAAATATACCCCTTGAAATTTGATTAAAACACGAATCACCTTCTGTGATTTTGAAAATTATATTTCATCCCTTAAAATTTCTAATTTTATAACAAATCGCCTCTTTTATTAATAAATCATCAAATTAATTAACAATTTTTAATAATGATTGAAATATATTTCAACTATTAATTTAGATAATTTTATTATTGTATAGGAGAATAATTATAAATTTTATTTTTTTAATTAATTTTATTAAATAAAAAATATTAATAATGAGATATTTATAATTTTTTAAATTATAAAAAATAATTTATATTTTAAATAAACGTGCTACTCTGACGTAATTTGGTGATTTTGGGGCATCAACACCTCGAATTCGAAGTTTCTTAAGAGACTAATTTGTGTATAATGAAATCCGGCTCTAACTCCCAAACTGAGAATCTGATTTGAGTCTCGTCTTCTCCCACAAGTCTCTCATGCCTAGGCGGTCGTGTGTGCCAAGTTTCATGCTACTCTGACACCGTTTGGGGATTTTGAGGCATCAACATCTCAAATTCTAAGTTGCCAATTGGTTATCAACAAATATCTAAATAGAACTTTTGAATTGTTATAGGGGGACTCAATTTATTTAACACATTATTATAAATAAATTTATAAATTAAATATGTAAATTTTTAACATTATCAGAATGACATCATGACATACTTTAAGCACCTCAATGGGTCATCATGATTAACTTCAAAGAATTTGTACACATTTCCCACCATCATAATAATAAAATTTTATGGCAAATGTTAAAAGTGATTCTTATATATTGTTTAACATTAAAAATTGTATAAAAATATCTTGAAAATATTTTTTTAAATATTATTTTTAATAAAAATGTATTGAATTTAATAAAAACATTTTGTGATTTTTAATTTTTTTTTTATCTTTTACTTATTCACTAAGAGCACTTATTACTAGCAAAATTTATTTCTAATTTTTTTTTTTTTTTCCTTCTTCTTCTTACCTCTTAAGAGCATCTTCAATAGAAAAGCTAAGAGTGCACTAGTGTTAGGTGTTAGTTTACAGTGGAATTGTGCAGTTTGAAACACTCCTAAATAGGCAATTGCGGCAAAACCCTTGACAAGAGAGAGAAGGAAAGGGATAGACATAATTGGATCTTGTTTTCATACTTAACACACATTTTAATTACATCATTTGAACATCTAATAACTTCCTAAATTAACAAATATTTTTAGAAATGAAATTAAATCATACTTCTATGATTTTTTGTCAATTAACAAACACTTTAATACACAATTTTATCCATACCACCATAACATTTCTTAATCAAATCCTATATTAATATTTTATATATATATATATATATACGCATGTAACCTTGACAAGAATATTCTCCATATGGCAAACCTTAAAAAGAAAAATAATAAACTAATGCACAAGAGGGACCTGTTGCCTACCAAAAGTAGTAGAACACTGATGCTCAAAACAAACAAAAACAAGTAGTAAAACACCCACTAAAAGAGATGCTTCCATTCACTTTCCATGAGGCTCTATTAGAGTCAATTGAATGGTTCCTACTTCCCAGCAAAACCTTAAGGATGTCTTTTATTATTATTATTATTTATTTCCAGTGTCATCAACACTTCACAGCCATTTCCCTAATTTTGTTGTTTTCAATAAACCTAAAATGATTTCAAAATTGCAGAGCAATTTAATCATGGTTGTTTTTCACCACAGAGCATCCACCTAATTTTCTGATAATTCTAATGTGAGCATATATGTCAACCTTTTGTCATGTTTTAGAATTGATTCAATCCATTCGACTCCACGGATGTTCTGACCCCCAAACTCTCTCTTGATTTGATTCTCATGCTTTGAACCCTCACCTAGGTGGAAAAATTATTGAAAACCAAAGTACTTGTCTATATAATACTCATGATCGATAAGAAATCACAACATATACAAAATAGATCGTTACCTAACAAATGTGAATAAACATATCCTAATCTATAAAAAAAAAAAGTTTATGTGATTGGTTTAGAATACCACGTAAGTAATGTCACATAATGTTTTGAGACTACCGAATAATTACTCAACCTCATACTTACTCTAATAAACGTCTTGATTGTATGAAAACACTGCAATAATCTAAAGTTTTCTTCTTTTTTTGTTTGTCTTCTGGTAAAATGTTAACAAGTTAGTATGTTAAGTTAGTACTCAACTCCCAAATTTCTCCATAAAAACCTAAGAGTACAACCACTTGAACTAAGCAAATTCAATTTGAAATTCACATGACCTAATGTTCTTCAAGAGACATTACTGTGAAATATTTGAAAATAATTGGATTCCTAGTAGCAAGTGCAATTCACTAAGGATCTGTTAAGCTTTTGAATTTAGAGAGGTATTTATGGAATGAAGAGAAAATGAATGAGAAATATGAAAATAAAAAATAATAATTTATATTTCATTCATATTTTTCATTCTTTTTTTTTTCTTCTTCTTTTTGTTCTCTTCTATAATTTTTTTCACAACCAAAAAATTTAAACACAACATAACCACCAAATGAAACTTGTACTCAAGAGGTAAATTAGGTGGAAAGTACTTGAAGAAAAGCTGCCTTACATCGATTTTTTTATTTTTTTTATTTTTTAGATAGCAAATTAAAGTGTTTGGTGTGCAATCTTGTTCATATAAGTGACCCTTCCTCCAAGACAAATTAGCTCCCCTTCTATGAGAACAGCCCTGTCAGTAATTCAATAGTAGTCACTCTCTGTCTCACACATACACACACACACACACACACACACACACACACACACACACAAAAGTTACAGTTTTTTGTTTTTTTTTTAATCGAAAACCGTTACAAATATCATGAAACTTATACCAGATTCATCAATCAATCGTTTAAAAAAAAAAATCTAACACATTGCAACATGCATACAACAAATTCAACAATCACACAAATCACAAAAAAAAAAAACCTCAAACAGAAATTATCACACGGATTTAGAATATCATGTGATCATATATCCAACCAATAGTGTTTGTAATTTGTTCATCATTATCCTTATTTTTCAAACCATGTAAGTAATAGCTCCTTGTTGTTGGGCACAATAATTACTCAACAAACAAATTGGGAAAAGCCAACCTACATAGGTGAAAAGAATTGAACTCCCGACCTTCAAGTGAGATAGATAAATGAGCTCTTATTATTTAATATTATTATTATTATTATTATTATACAGAATTCATGCACATAAATATGTTCATAAAAATAGTGCAGTTCAAATTCAACTCTTGTTTACATCTTAAAATGAATTTACATCATACATTAAATATTCTAGGTATTTCTGTGTATAAATTTTGTGTATGTAGGGATGCTCATATGGAAGAGGTGGAATGGACCCAAAACAATTTTTGAAAGAGATAAGTTTACCCTTAATTTAAAGGCAATAACATCACTAGTGACTCAAGGCATGAGACTAGAATTGACTATTGAGTAGGTTACGACAAAAGGGTTTTGCAAACAAAACCAAAGGATTGCACAAACAAAACCAAAGGATTGCATGGGCCAATACCAAATTGAATGTCCTGATCTCAACAACAAAAATACAAAAAAGAGCACATAACTACAAAGTCTATGCAACAATAATAATGAACATGCATAAGTTTGACATAGGACAGATGCAAGTAATCCAGCAGTTCTAATCTGCCAACCCCCACCCCCCAACCCAAAAAACAAACAAACAAAAGACAAACTCAGTCAGATATTGGCATAATTGCACTATTATAATATGCCTTTTAAAAGCTCAATTACCGGCTGATATTCAAGAAAATTTCAAAATTAAATACAAGACCCATCATTAATAAGAAAAGAAAATTTTCCACATTTAAGTTTGTTTCATGTACCTTTGCTTAATCACTTGATCAAAAATAATATTAGATGCGTTTCTCTAGGCGTTACATTTTATGATAATAATAGAGTGATAGGACAGTGAAAGAGCAAAAATGCCTGTAACGGTAAATACATCAACCTCCACTGACACAACATTATAAATTTAAAATTGGAAATTTATTTAATGAAGAAGTCTAATGTAACTTGTGACAGTTGCAATGATCTGCTAAGCTAGTTATTACCTTCTACAGATGGGGCATATTGCATTTAATATATTGCTAGAAACAACATATAATGCACTCTTAATATCATTGCAGAGAGAACATTACATTTCTTCCCTTGGATAAGCCGCCTGGCTACTGCTATCTATTTCTAAATTAGAACAGTCATGTGCAGATATGAAAACATGCTCAGGAGGTTCACCTGAAGAAGAAAAAAGAAATTCCAACAGTAAGCCAAAATCTTCCACTAAATTAAATTAAGACATTTATGTCATGAAAGTTTGACAGCTTTATCATGATTTCTACATCAAGAGTGGAATTGTGAACGATACCACTACGGAAAGTGGCATCCGTCATCATAACTGATTCTTAAAAAAAATTGAAAGGGATTTTTTTTTTGTCAACAGGAGCTGAATTAGTTTTATCAATGCAAACAAAATAATAAATCAAATTATCTTGACCCTTCCTGAATCCTGAAAATATTTATCGTCCAATGTTATCTCAATTTGTAAACAATAGTGCTTAAACAAAGTGGAGACAGTGAACATGCATGTTTGGCAATGTTAAACAGAAAACGGCAACTGTGTATCAAAGAAGCTGGTAAAAAATATAATATCATACTTACAAACCCTGTCTAATACAGTGATTGTGAATATCACTATTTAAATGCCCTGTCTAACCCTTCTCTTCAAGTCCCTCTCTGCTATCCACCGCATGTAAATCACAACACCACTATTTAAATGGCTTTATATTCACATGTTAATATATCTCCCTCTGAAAACATATACCCCCTCACTAATACAGTGATAGCTTTCCCTCAGCTTGTGCAGTGTATCGGTATGAAAGTTTCCCTACCGAACCACTCGACACCTACTGGTTTCACTATTTTGCTATTTTTAACTCAGCAGAAACACAATTTTTTTATCAGTGGGGCAGAAAAGCAACTTTAAAATTATATGTTGTGCCAAAATAGATGTTGGGTTCAATTCATACTATTGAGGCCTAACATTGGTAACCCATTGTATTCTTTTCCACTATATTGCCACGCCAAAATAATGTTTTATTGTAACTAGGAGCATATTTGAGTGTCAAGAATGGCAAAGAGGTGATGAGGTTAGGGAGTGGGGTCACTTTGAGGTAATTGATGATGGTGGTAGTAGTGGTGAGGCTACCAATTGTAGATATGGGGATAGCAGTTTGTGTGGTATAGAGCCTGTGGCAACACTATCTGTCAGGAGGTTGCAACTGCAGTAATGGTATTGCTTTTCCCTTGTTAATGTTAGTATTGGTTATTGGTAATGGTGATGGTAACTGTATCAGTAAAAATCATAATATATATTTTCCCACTTTTCATGTTTGATTGTTAATGAGGATATTCAAGGATGTTGGGAATTCTGACGTGTCTTGCCTTTGGACCTCTTATATTGGACTTCTTGTATCTTTAGTTAAGCTCAATTAATTGCATTCTTATTGTAGCTCCAATATGCCAGAGATAAAAAATAAACAGTCGTTAGAGAGAGAGAGAGAGAGAGCAACAAGACTAGCACTCAAGGAGGGAACAGCATTACCAGTCCCAATGATGCCAAAAAAAACAACTCTTTGCGCATTACACCGTAGCATTGTTCTGCACAAGATAAGACCCATATTAAACCATACGCTAGAATTACTCAAAACTATGATATTAAGCAAGCTTGTCCATAACAGCACTTTTAGGCCTGCAAATTGAAATAAATTTTCCAAAAACTAGCCATTCATCTCAAACCAATAACCTGAGTCACCCCTCATTTGGGCTGGCACTTGCAGTCACATTTTCAATAAAAATCAACTTTGAATAAATTAGTGGTGGCCCATCCAAGCACAAACCCCAGATCAAGTACGATAAAGCCTACATGCATTTCATATATACTTGATACATTAACAATTGCATTTATAATTTTATAGTAATGCTTCTATTACTCGATTTTCCAAGGCAATGAGCATTGAAGGTTCAAATTTGGCAGGATCCCAGTTCCATAGCAAGTGCAATAAATGCAGTGGACAAGAGTGTGGTTTGATTATAGTTCCATTGCAGGTAGACCAAGACCAAGCCAGTACATTAGTGGATCTAGAAAATGAAAAAAGACATGAAGATGAACATACAACAGCACTCTTTAAGACCATAATTACAAGACTGTAATCAAACAAGTTGCTCAGAGGATAAAACTGATCACAGAATTGCATTGATTGGTTCACCTTTTGCAGGATCTTTTGGCTGTCAATGAAGTATTGATTGGGATGATTAATGCCAGTATCACAAGATGAACCATGAACAGCTTCAAATGTCAAGGTGCATGCCAACTGTTCATATCATTTTCACAAACATAATATACCCCATAGGAAATTTTAAAATTAAAAATTAAATCACGTGGAACAATTTTGAGGACAACTCAAACACTATTTTCTGACCTGATAATGTCTATTCCGCACTTTGTCAATCACATCCTCCATTGCACGATTGCCAACTCCCATTTTACCAAGGGCAGCTCTCAAATTCTCCTCACTGTCACGTTAAAATGACGTTATGATAGATTAAATGATTCAGTGAAAATATTTTATATGATAACAAGTAATGAGATCAACAGGTTTCAATTGCAGGGTGGGCATAGGGTAAGTTTTAGTGTGAAAATACAACCAGATTTTATTAATACACAGATTTAGTATTGGTTGTACCTTGTACATAAATCAACAGATCCGAGAATCATCACTTACACTGATACCTATATTTAAGTTGAGTCATAAGGCATGAGTTATGTAGCTACAACTGCCATTCACATATTTTTGTCCAAGAGCTCCCATTTTGAAAATAGCTTAATACAAACCATGTGGCTTCATGAAAGCCAGTTCTATTTGTTAGCATCATTGTAATAAGATACAAAATGATTTACTATTCGAAAGTATAATGCCATATGATAGAAAATAAAAACTGCATGGCTTCAGGTTACATGTTGCAGTAAGCAGGCATTTGATAGAAAATAAATAGCAAAAGTGAGTCATGACTCATGGGGTCTTGATAACAATAGTCCATCATTACAACATATACATACAAGAGGGTGCACTAGGACAAGACAAAGTTATTTGACCTTGTTAAAATTCACCCACTATCACCTACCACACTTCACCTACTCTCCACCTACCACTACCACCTACCACACTTCACCTACTCTCCACCTACTCCCAAACACACTCCTATATAATAGGAATCCTTGTAATTGTAATATACAACAATATCAATAAATCAATCAATAATCTATTTCTCTTTATACATTGATTTTCTACAGACCTTGTAATATCAAAAACACATTTTAGAAAACAACATTTCATAACCACTACTAAATTGAAGTGTTTGGTTGGATGCACAAACCAACTCTCCATTTTAGCTCAAAGTAGTGTCACTTCTTGTATTATAATATGCAAGGATAATGTCATATGATAGCCTCAACCAACGATGTTTTGGCTTGATAAAGGGAAATTTGGACGTCATTGCCATTTATCTCTCATTTAAGTGGAAAAGTAATATGTGCCTGCCCGTAATGCAATACCTGTATCACTTCCAAATCATATACAAGTTAACTGATGAGAATTTCCCTCCTCTACCACTCTTTTCCATCAAATCTTCTTTCTCTACATTATCTCTTTCAATAAAATGTTTATTATTGAGTTGTGACCCTAATATTATATAGGTAAATCAAATTATCTACAATGTATGTTAAGTAAAACAAATATGCTACTCCATACAAATTGAAGATAAACAAGAACAAGAACAAGAATAGAATCAATCCATCATAAGTTTCAAAGAGAGCCACAAATTGAGTAAGTGAGAGAGAAAGTAACTTGGATTTATTTGGCTGTACAAGCAGTACAAAGTGATACAATTTGATAATGAGGTTAGAAGCATAAGAGAAAGTCCAAAAAGATGCAGTTAACATGAAGACAGGTGGTGAAACAGGAATTCAGTATCTGACACACGGACAATTCAGTAGAACATATTTCCTAGTAGAATGCAAGGTTTCATTACACTGAAATAGAACAGTTGAGGAGTTGACCTGAAATGGCGAAAAGGGCATCCATGATGATCTCCAACACCTGGAGTTGATGAGATGATTTTTTGACAAGAATAAGGTGTATAATCCTGCTCTCACCAGGAATAGAAATTTAATGTGGTCAGCAGATAACATCAAATGGAAAAGAAGTTGAAGCTTCCTCTTTGCATCCTGAGTTTCAGGAATGACACTTCTAAGGATAGCATCAAATGGAAAAGAAAAACATAAAATAATGAAGTTTTGTTATAATTTAACTAGTACTATAGTTACACCTAAGATCTTGAAATGTAGAACTTTTATCATAATGCTCTTTTTCTGGTAAACTTTTGAATCATTTTGTATGTGTTAAGCCTTTACTCTTTCTTCTTCTTTTTTTTCTTTTTTTTTTTTTGGTAACCCAAAAAAAAATCTTCCAGGCCAATCTACAATCCCAATTCTGACAACCTTGAATACGGGTTAGAATCGAAACACAAAAATAATTTGCCACTAATCCAAAGTATTTCCTTACCGTTCTCTTCCCTTCTTTTCCGTAGTTATGTCGTATACTATATGCATATTCTTTATCAAATCTCTCAGCACCAACCTACAACAAAAATAAAAAAATAAAAAACAATAAGCACTAGGAGTAAAATGAAAAGGGGTGCGGTATTCAAGCAACCATGGTAACTATACAACTATATACGGTACAGATAATGCCAATGCCTTTGTTTACACATGTACATATGCAAGAGGAGTTTATTATCCTTTATCATCCAAAATGGCAGTATGATGACTTCAAGGCATAGAAATGCCACTGGGTGGAACCAGCCCAAAATAATTACCCATCTGAACAATTCAATCAGTGTGGCAATGCTATGATAGCATATTGCATGCAAACATGCTATTAATTTATCAAATGATAATGTCTACTGCAGTTACTCGGTAATTCATATGGCCAAGTTGCTACTTACAACTTGTTGAGAATGCAAGGATGTAGATCTATGTTCTATTAAAAGAAACAGAAGCTTCCAAAACCGTAATCAGTCACCAAAATGCTTCAACAGTACCAAGCTTACCTTGCGAGAAAACTCTGCTTTCCAGAAGGCAAGGGCATCATCCAACTTCAGTCCAACACCCTAGAAAAAGGAGGAAAAGCTATTCAATGTACAACAGCATAAAAAAGCATCAAGGAAAAAAACTTTATAATTTAATAAATACCAAATATGTACATTTTTCCATATTCATCATCTATGAATGCTTCTAGTTTTCTTGCAGATATCCAATGTACACATGGATTCAAGAAACAGAAAATATTGGCTCCAATAATTATTATTCACTCCAATAACTCAATTTTGTGCAGTGCATTTTCAAACCAAGCACAAATGTACCTATGCAAGAATGTTCATATGTACACAAATAAAACATGGACACATATTTATGTGACCATCAATGTTTAATGTGCAACCTGAACCTGATCAAATGAAATCCAACGACATGTAAATGCATGAAAAAGTATCCAATAAACATACATCCCAAGATCTCTAACAAAGGAACCATAATATACTAAAGTAGAGGCTTCACGCTTCAGATAGTTGTCAATGCACTTTGTGCAACTAAAATCACACAAACCCAGCACCATGTTACTCTTTCAAATACCAATGCACACACAACCAAACATGAGTATCCAAGTTAAAGATGTAACCTTGAGAAATAGACCCAACTGCATCCTCCCTCCATGCTTTAAATGATGATCCTCTCTTAGCTGTACGAGTAGCATGGACCACAAAAGTGAATGAAATACGAAATAGAATCACAACAACTTTACACATAGAGAAGGAAAGGAGGAAGGGGGAAGCTAAATGACAGGCAAATAAGAAAATTTTGTTTAACCATTAAGTTGCAATAGAAACAATTACGAGCCTAATGACCCTGACTCTATAAACACAAACTTTACCTTTTCAAACAGATGGTGCATACACAAAGGAAATGAACTTTTAGCTACTTGATCTATGTCTTTCAAAGATATTTCTGCAAATTCCCTTGGCTGCAAAATCAATATAAAAATTTATCAATATCAATTTGAATCTACAACCCGAGGATTACAAATAAACCAGACAACCATAGTTCAAAGTACCTACCTGGGAATAGTCAGGACCCAGATAACTTGTCGATAGGGCTTCCACAACCTATTCAATATCAAAGAAAAGTGACGCACCCTACTTTGAAGCATAGCCCATTTTGAACCTAGAAGTTCATAAATAAAATACTTACAGGAGTCAACCGATCCTTCTCTCGTTCTCTAATGGTGGATGTCCATTTTCTGAAAGCAAAGGCCACATCTTATGAAAATTCAAAGGATGCAATTCTATGCCTCAAATTGCATTTGACAGTACAAACCAAGTAATATGGAAAGACATGTCAAAAACACCACCACAAACTTGAAAATGATGTTTCTGCGCGTAAAACCTTTTTGAAATTCTTGGTATATAAAGATGCACTCTCGTAAGAAAATTTTAAAATCTAATCAACAAAATTAAATTCTTATAAAACCTGATCCAATAAAAATCAGATTAGTAAACAAACAATTTCCACGTCATGGAACAAGTATTGAAAAACATTATAAAAATTTATCTGCAGAATGGTATTGCCAGAAATGTTAATACCCAAGTGTGCACCAAGTAAATGTGTGTGCAGATAGATAGATAGATCGATAGATAGATAGAGAGAGAGAGAGAGAATTGTTGAAACAAGATTTGCTTTGCAACCATGACAGCAACAGCAACAACATTAAATATAACAATGATGCTGATGACAATAACTAGCAGTTAAAATTATCATCCCATATGAATTCTGGAAGGACAAAATTTGTTAGAAAATTTATGCACTGGTGTCAGTAAGTTCAATTTCATCATTCTTACGATGAATTCAATGGACAGAAAACCAAAATGTGACCAAATAACACAAAAGAAGTAGATCTTTTTCAGTTATGAACTATCCATGAAAAATATGTTTCTCTGCCCAAAAAATACCCAAGATTTTAGGGCTTTTGAACCACACAAACAGGTGAAGTATGGAATATTTTCTACACTCATGCAACTTGACCAGGATAGAAAACAAGAGAAAGAGGGTAGTTTGTAAGCAGGTGAAGTATGGAATAATAATATTCAAGACTTAAGGGCTTTGAACCACACAAACAGGTGAAGTATGGAATAATAATAATAATAATAATAATAACAACAACAACTTAATAAAAACAACAACAACAATAATAATAATTATTATAATAACCTGTTTGTAAGCACAAGTGCTTTTGAAAGATGGCTGCGAAATTGTGTGACAACGAGGGAAACCACCTATAGAATAAAGATTGAAACACCAATGAGATTAATGAAGTCTAGTTTGACATGGGTTAAGTGCACTGATTAAAAAAGTGATATTCACCTGATTCATAGCAACATATGCATGCCCTTTCAGGATAAATACTCTGCGACTGGCCACTAATTCTGGAACTTCTTCAAAGGGCACCTTCATTTACAAAAGATGCGGAAAATACGTATAAGATCCAAATCAAACTAGCCAACATGAGATGTCATACACATTTGAGATCTAAAAGATGGGGAAACTCCTCAATCCCTCTTTGCTCATTACTCATATTTAATGGGATTGGAACCAACCATAGAATTTTCCTTATTATGCGTCCTCCAATTACACGATGGTGAGCATTAATTTTTTCTCACCTATCCCACAAGCAACATAGAAAGCCATCAAATTTTGTTAATTTGGGCCTCAAGAATCCTCTTGGTGAGGCCCATAGAATGTTGAGGGAACCACTGTTAATTTGTTTCCACTTAGCAGTAGAGAGGCTTACTTCTTGACTATCAAAGGTCCTTTGTCAACAATAAGCTAAGAATCTATTCAAGTACCTACTCTGTTATGAGTAAGCTAAGAATGCAGTTGTTGCAGTTGACAGGAAAAAATTAAGCCAGCCAAACAAACCTTGTAGAATATCGTATCAGCTGCAAAAGGAAGGAAAAACAAAGAAAGTTAGAATACCAGCATATCTCCAAACGAAATTGAAATTTCATAGCTTAAAAAGTTAAGATTTTCTGACCCAGAAATACAGAGTTCTAATACAAGGGAAAGTGGAAACAAAAGGAAATGAAATGTTAAGAATGAACATGAGGCATTAATTTGAATACTCACTTAGCAGTGGTAAGAGTGGTATAAATATTCAAACTAAACTTTTTCATATAAGTTTCTAAAATGTTCATGATCCACTTTTTCATACCACTCTTTTATAAAATGTTAAGAATGAAAAAACACAAGAAAATGAAGGGAGAAGAGAATTCTATTAATGCTCCACCATACTCCTAATTTAAAAATAAATATATAAATAAAACATTAAAGTCCAGACAATCTGAGTAACAAACATGCTAGGCAAATCCAAGTGGTGTCATTGAAAATTCTTCTACTTCATAAATATTAGCAAACAAGAGAAAGACAATGGTTATTTTGATGGGGGAAAAAAAGACATTAAATTTAGCGACAGCAATTACCATTGGATATATATTGACCAATAGAGCGTGCAACTTGACTCAGTTTTTCTTTTACACTCTGCATAAAAGAAAATGTCAAGTATCATCTGAAGATGGCATGCATTCTATAATAAAGGTGGAGAAATAGGTTGAGATTTTTTTGTCAAATTGGTTAAAGTTAAATGTATACAAAATAAAAATAGGAAAAGAAATGTGCATGCGTTTTTAAAACTTTGACCAGGATAGAGTAGATGAATTTTCTTCGATTTCAAAACATATTTTGATATTCAGACAGAAAGGTAGCAAAACAATTAAGCATGCTAAATGCAAATACCTCAAATTCTGCATTGCTAACTGCTTTATAAGGAAGGTCAAATTCAGCCATCAGTGCCCTCTGCAAACTCCAAATTGGAGCCAAAGATAATCAGCAACAGACTTAGAACAACGATGCGTGGAATTAATAAATTAAAATAAAAAATAAATAATAAAAAATAAAAAGGAAAAAATTATACCTGTACTTGAGGACTTTCAAGCCGGAACCGATAACGAAAGAGGGTAGTTTCCATGGAAAGAAACCACTTTCTCAATTCCTCCCTAATGCACCAGGAAATAATCATAATAATAATAATAAGTAATAAATTTTCATACAACACGCGCAAAAAATAAATTTAGGAATATTAAAAACTTACGTTCTACAATACACGAGTCGAAGAACAAAGTGGGAAATGATGTCCTTGTTCATAACTTCAGATGCTTGTGGATGGCTCATAATTGTCTTCCGCAAATCTCTTACCTATTCAAATACATTAACTATTAAATTAAAAAAACAACTCTACAGAAAAAACAAAAACAAACCATAGTAGCCGGAAACAGTAATCTACCAATGTCTCCATTTCATCGGGCTTCTTTCCTCGGGATAATGCATCAGAAATCCCTTTAAGAACTGTATGAACAATACCAAATTGAGAGCACATAACTATAAATTTAAAAAATAATTAAAAAAAAAAAATTAAATAGTGAGACACATAAACCTAGATTAAAATTATTTCTACTGCTGCTGCTACCACCACCACTACCACTAATACAACTAATAGTAAAACCATAGATTCATTAAATTGCGCAAATTTTCGTAGAACAGTGAACATTTCATAAATTGTAAAAATGATGAACCACGTTTGGTTAGCGAGAAAAATTATAGGAAAATGAAATGAAAGCTTGAGAGTAAAAATGACCACCTCGGAGACGATCGATGGCGAAAAGTTCGAAATCTTCGAGTCGGACTTCGAGTTGTAGAGCAGAGCGGTAGAGAGGAAGCGTCCCAACGAGGTCGTCGGAGGCCGGAGATCTCCTCTGGGACCGAAAGATTTCCATTTTTGCCCCCTTTGTTTGTTGGTCTGAATCTGAAGATGAATCAAAGGCTAGGCACCACCAATTTGAGAGCAATGGCGGGAAATGGTTTTATTTTGTAGGATTTCACTGGAACCCAATAAGTGCATTTGGTTTGAATTTTCTTATATTAAATTTTTTAAAAATTGAGGTTTTTGTTTTTCGTGTTTTTTTATTTTTAATGAATATTTTTAAAATTTTAAATATTTTTTTTAGTTTTTTAGATGTACCTTATTTAGATATATCTAAAAAGTAAAAAATTTGTGAAAAAATATTTAAAAAAATTATTAAATACATGAAAATACAAAAAATGTATTAAATTCTCCTATTTTTTGTATTTTTTGTATTTAGTGAATTTTTAAAAAGTTTTTTTCACAATTTTTTTACTTTTTAAGTATATTTTATGTTAAGTATATCTAAAAATTAAAAAATTGCTTAAAATATTAAAAAAATTCATAAAAAACAAAAAAAAAAGACGAAAAATAAGAAAATAGAATTTTCTGAAAACTATTTTCAGAAAAACGAAACCAAACAAGCTGAATGTTTTTGGTAGGGGTGGGCACGGTAGGTTCCGCCATCCGTCCGTCCAAGGATGGAGGCGATGTAGTTTCTTATAAATGATTTAGCAATTTAAAATTTTATAAATTTTTAATATAATTTAATTTATATATTTTTTAATAAAAATAAAAATATTATAGTTAACGACTTTAAAAAAATAGTATAATTACTGTATGTATCATCCAAAGTAATAAAGTTTGAAACTTTAGAATATTACAATCACTGTATGTCTCATGCACATATTACCATCACGGTATGCCTCATCCACATAAAGTATTACCATTTGTGGTTCTTAAAATATAAAAATAATTCAAACAACCAGCGTCATAAGCAGAGCAGTAGTAGAGATTGTATGTCTCTGTATTGTTACATTTATATCTGTTTTTGAAAACAAAAATCAACCAGCATATATCATATTTTCTATTTATTATTTTCAGAGATAGATTTAAAAACCAAAAAATATAGATAAGTAATACGTTTATTTTTTTAATTCAAAAAAAGATATTCAAGTTGAAAACTTTTTTTTAACTGAATATTTAAACTCTTTTTAAATTGAAAACACAAACAAAATATTTAAACAAACAGAAAATATAAAGTCTTATAAATTACTAGGAGTGCTCATAAGTTGACGGTTCGGTTGCGGTAAAAGGAATCTCAAATCCGCCATCCGTTTGCCAGATTGGCAGATTGGAGAAAATCAATCCACAACCGTCTGCTCGTCATCACGCATTCGTCCAAAATGTGACGAATGAGTTCAGTTCGGTCGATTTTGATGAATCAGTATATTTACCCCTAGTTTTTGGTTGGGAGGTTGGTCAGGCAAATAGGCCCAACCCAATGCAAGCCCAATATAATGGTTACCAATCTAGATTGTTTTTTTTTCACCGGCAAAATTAATAGTTAATTGTTAAATTAACAATATGAAGTTGAACTCACACCCTCTCCTAAAAAGCACCCCTATTTTACCCTATTTTACTCCTAAGAGTGAAATCCAAAATCTCTTTTTATAATAGACTTTATGGCCAAATGACTAGACAGGCACCCACGCTAAAATCCCTTAGCTATCAATCTAGAAATACTTTTGTAGAGAGAGAAGAATATGAAACCACAAATGTACCAAAATTTTAACTTATAGTTCGCTTAATTTTCTTTTAGTGTTTCTTTTCACTTTACAAATTTCTTCTCAAATTCTCCATTTAAACATAGTTTAGGAGTTCAAACAAGTCGCTTGGAAGTTATGGTTAGAAAAATATTAAAAGCAGTTTCATGACTAACATTAAGAAGTTGTTTGGGATGAACTTTGACTTTTTAGGTAAAAAAAGTAGAGGAAAAAAATATGATTTTTAGAATAATTTTTGGACATTTTACAAAAAAAATATATGTAATAAAATATTGTAGATGCAAAGTATACTAACTTGCAATACTGTGCCGAGGTATGCATTTCAATTTTTCTATTTTTTTTTTTTAATATGAATTGGTGGCTTGCATTGTGCTATGTGGTATGTGCTAGGAAAATGTAGATGCAAAGTACATTGTGCTGCACTGTTGGGCTAACTAATCCAAAGGGCAAAATTACGATTTTGCTCACTAACTTCGCCCACACACTTCCCACAAATAGTATGAACTTTTTGATTTTTTTTAATAATTTTTTAATTTTTTGACTTTTGTAATATATGCCAAACAAGCACTAAAAGAAGCATATTTTACTAGGCATTTAGACATTTATACTATTATATAAAACTTACACCTGAGTTTTACATATACTGTCGTATTTTTCTATTTTTAAAAAATAATCTCTCGAGTTGCGTGTAATTTCTTACCTTACCTAACTATAGGGGTGTAAATTTGGCTCAACTCGGCCCATGTCGGGCCTCGCGGGCTCCCGCCAAAATTGGGGCCAGGCCGAGGCGGCCCGCAAGTCAAAAAATTAAACCTAGGCTCAGGCCATAGCCTAGGGATATTCGGGCCTTGGACGGGCCAGCGAACCAGGCCTTGGGCCGGCCAAATAAGCTTGGGCCTAGGCTCGGGCTTAGGTGGGCCTAATCATTCTTTTTTAATTTTTTTTAAATTTTTTTTTATCAAATTTTTGTTATTTTTCATTAAAAAGTACACAGGGCCTTGGACGGCCCGGGCTTCGGGTCGGGCCCTAAGTGGGCCTTAAGTGGCCGATGGGCTAAGCCACGAGCCGAGCTTCAAAACAATGGCCTAGGCCCTAGTCCCGAGACTCAGGCTGGGCTCGAGCCTAGGCCTAAGCAGGCCTAAACGGACCGGGTCCATCTCAGACTGCGGGCGGGTTTCGATCCGCTCACGAGTCGCGAGCCATTTTTACACCCCTACCTAGCTACCCAAATTAAACTCAAATTAAAACTTGTAACAGTTTTAACAACATACCCACTGATTGTGCACACATTGTTAGTTTAAGCTAGTGCTTAAAGAAATTATCGTGCAGAACTTGGGAAACTGATGAAAATAAGTAGGATTTGTATCCAAATGAGGCATCAACAAAGCTGTGCTTAGTTTGGGTTGGAACAAGAAAGGGAAGGTTCAAATTCTCTCCTTTTGATTCTCCCACCATCTATCAATTCACTCTCGACACTTGCATCACATTTTGAGATTCTCATGGTCTCATAGATGACGGTACAACAAAACAAGGACCGAAATTTGATAATAGAAACTCCATCTCAAGCATTTTCAGATCAGATTCTCCAAACCGAACAACAAAAATTTAAATTGTGGTCAATCCAAGCTTGATTTCTTGAGGTTGTATTTCGCATTCAAATGGAAGAAGCTATTGTTCTCATACTTCCCACAAAAGGTATAACAGAAGACAACAGGGAAAAAAAAATGTTTAAGAACAAAATCAACCTCCATTATTCAAATTTATATTACCACCTGTTCAATCCGTTCAAAATGTAAAGCAAAATAATAACGCGTCATGAATCAGGTGCTCTTTTACTAGGCGTGACGCCTTAAAGTTCAAGACTCAATCCTTTCCCTATACCCCTACTGCTGTTCCCTTCCCACCATTCACTATAATATAGATGAAACAATTTTTAAACCAGAGTTCTACATAAATTCCAAGTCAACCTCAAAAATATAACAGCAGCTCTACAAAAATCAGCACCCAGTTCGGTTTCATATATATGGCTGGGCACTCCCTATTTTCCAGGGATAGCCGCTGGCACTAACCTTGGGCCTTTTTTACCCTAGCAGCAGAGTATATGATATATTTTGTAATGGGTTTGCTCAATGATGAACAATAGTAATATATTTGAATTCCATCTACTTGAATGACTGCACTGCACTGCGGGTTCTTGTAAGAAACGAAGCACTGATACCAGAAATCCGCCTCCCAAACAGACCAGAATTCGAATTCCCATTGTTGTTTGTGTCTTCTGTTACATTAAGCCCATTAGAAATGCCGGGACTGCTCAATGCCTCAACAATTTCTGAAATCCCTTGAAGCTCCTGAAATATATTATCTGTGTCAGAATTACAGTGCATACATGGGTGAACAAAGATGTCATGCATAATTAGAGTTTACAATAACCTTTGGGGCTGAGGCTGTGACCCCGTTTTGCAAGGACAAATCAGTATAAATGAACTATTTATGTCAATTATTCAACAAATTAATTCAAGATGAAGTAGGAAGGCAGAGAAGCCAAGCCATTCTTCATCCATTTGTACAATAATAAACTCCAAACAAGAGTGAAGAACTCGATAAGTGAGGGTTAATGATTATAATAAAAAAAATCCATCTTTGATATGTATGTGCAGAACAGAAACTTCAAAAAGAGCCTATCTTGAATTGGTAAACAATCAGGATTTTACTTTTTGAGAGCTCATATGAATGACATCCAAAACTTTTGTTGCCATCTTTTGTCTAACCAGTGACCATAAAACAGAAATAAGTGAAGGAATGACTTGACTCTCCTTGTTTCTATGAAGCATGGGTACTTCGAAAAACATGCCGTACCCGTACCGGGTACTTACCGGCGTACCTTACCTCGTATAGTACTTCTGCATACGTACCGGATACACAAAACACGTACTCAAGTTTTTTCTTTTTAATTTTTGATGTACTGATACGTACCTAGTATATATCCAAGTCGTACCGTACTTCAGTTGAAACAATATTTTCCTTCTACTACAGAGATAAAACTCATTTCGCTAAATTTCTTTTTTAGTTTTTGTTTTATGCTTAGCATGATTTTAAAATTAAACTATTGTTTGTAAGTTATTTAATATATTGACAATTAATTTTGATTTACATTTTTCCTCTTGGCATTAAATGTTAATTATAGGTTGGACCTTAACAAATTAAACCATTTAATTAATTTTTGCATTACCCTAAATTTAAAATAAATATTTTTTTACAAGCGTACCAAACCGTACTGATACCTGTACCCTTTTTTTTTTGAATTTTACCATGTTGACGTACCCGTATCGTACCCGTACCCGTACCTGTGCTTCATAACCTTGTTTGAACTAAACAAATTTAAACAGATGATTCCATTTCCCTGTAACTTTAACCATTGCAGATATGTATTAAACAAATATTAATTTCCCCCAATCCAAACCTCTTTTTTTTTTTTAATTCTCAACTCCTTCATTAAGGACAGTAAGTAACAAACCTTGCGAGATCCATTAGAAGGAGATGTGTTACGAGATCCATTAGAAGGAGATGGTGGTTCCACTGGTGGAATGGGAGGCAAAGACCCAGTCTGCAAAGGCAAACAAACGAGTAAGCACAGTAGAATGTTGCTGATGAAATGATACAGCAGGATGCCACCATGTAATTGGAGTGGAAGTGCATATTAATCTACCAAAATAAAATTCAGCTCTCTCTCTCTCTCTCTCTCCCTTTCTCACACACTCGCACGAGTGCACAAAATTCGGTATTCTAACTGAATAAAATCTCAATAGGCCGAACACTTTTAACTCACACGCACAAGCAAGTTCCTGTCCCTAAGCTTTCTCCAAGTCCCGCATATGGAGCGTGTTCTTAAGTCTAATATCCAAAATGTAAATCTCACCCTTGGACTCTAATCCCATATTTTCCCCACCATTAAAAAAAAAGTAATAAATATAGAAGTCCATAACTCTATGCTATTTCCACGTCAAGCTCGAATGAGAATCCAAAATTTTATATCAAAGAAAAATGGACTAACATAACATGGGCTGGAAAGAAAATTTACCCTTGCAGGGGGTAGTATTTGTGGCATTTCAAGAGCTGGCCTGGATGAACTTGATGGAGCTGCCTGGAGCAATGAAATAGGTTCGGAGAAAAAGATCAGAGAAACTAAATTTCGTTAAGATGGAAATAAATTACGATGTGAGGCACCAAAAATAACCAATGACATGAAGTTAGGACCGTGCCTGAATTTCTAAGTTCCGTGTGTAATCAACCAGCCTCCGCACTCCTTCATTTGTGAGATCCTACACACATGACCACTCATCACCATAAGGGCCAAACCATTACAATTAGACAGCAAAATCAAATTTTCTAATCTCACACTTAAGTTATGTCATTAACACAATACCTGTTTCCCTTCTATTCTACTAATTTTAGTCTCCTGGACATGGAAAAAGTTAAATCAGCGTTCCAAGTCACAACCAAAAATTATCTTATGAATATAGGTAAGCAAAGATTAATCACCAGAGTTCGGACTACATGGTGAACAGATTGCACATCTACACCAATCACTTGGATTTCTCCTCGCAGTTCAGAAACCTGTATGGTTTAGTAATGTTCATGAATTAACCCAAAACTGCAACCAGCAGAATATTCAATAACTAGCCAACCTTTAATTTGGTCCCACCTCCTCTCTAGTAGCAGCAGTAAGCTCTGCACTCTCCTCTAAAGTACGATCCACACGGTCAATTTTTGACGATAAATGCCGCTTAGTGGCCTGGAAAACAAATAAATCTTCATTCACATGTTTTTCAATAATATTTTCAAAATCAAGCAAGATAATTGGGTTTTCTTAAATGTCAGCAAATTGTATGTGGAAATCATCTAAGATGGTTTAAGCAACGTAGACTAACTAATATACCAGTAAAGAAGGATATGATTGCCTTGGACTTGACCAAGGACAGGGCTTTACATAGACTCATAGAGTCAATTATACAAGGTACATCCTTGTACCTTGTACTATTAATTGAGATAGACTTCCAATTATAATAATGTAAATGTATATGCTAAAACCCTTCTTAGGAATATTGCTGGCATTAGGATGTGCTGTTATAATTTGATCTTTTATGGCATATACTTGTCCAGTTCAGTAATGTCATCTCATTATAACCAAGACAATGTTCATGGAAAAAAAGTTGCATTGTTTCGAATAAATTTATCAATTGACGGTCTTCTGTCAATGAAAGTAGTATTATAGTCAAAATAAGCATTGTCTCATATTGTTGTGTCCTTTCGGGTTTTGAGGCTATTTTAGGTTTGAAGGTTAACTAGGCTTTGGTGGGTGAGGTACTGCATACGGATGCTCTTTCTTTGGTTTGTCAAGTAGGATCGCATCTCTCCTCTACAAAGGCCGCATGTGACATGGTATGAGTAGGGTGTACTGCCAAGAAGGTTCCAAAAGAGATTGGCAGGGTAAAAAATGAAGCATTTACAAACGATCTCACCTTGATTAAGAGCAAACTATCGACATTCCCAACATATTTCATGTCTTTGTTTAGCATATCTCAATCTAGTAACAGATCAGTAATTATAACATCAATAAAACATCTACCTCAAGTACAGGGTCAAAGTTGCTTTCCATGTTTGAAGGAAAAACTATCCTTTTGTGGAGGACTTAAAGATCTTAGAATGAACTGAACTCAAACTTCACATCACAATGCGGTGCATCAATATCAACACAAACAACATGAATATCAAACATATGTAGCAAAAGGAGTAAGAAGAAAAACTCGCCGCAATTGATGAGTAAACATTCTCAAGTTGTTTGGCTATAGTGTTGCATGCATCAGATAAACTACGCTTGGTTGCAAACATCATATCCGGAAGCTTCCAACCCTGAGAACCAACAACCAATACATGAATTACCCCTATCATACTACACATTTAAAGTCGCAAAAAAATTGAAAAATGAAAATCTACAAATTACTAAAGCATAGTCTATGTAGTAAAAATGGATGTTATATCTTGTTTACTAAAAACATAGCTTTGTTCCCCCTTTTTAACAATACCAAAATTATTCAAGCTCTTATATTTGAAATCTACCAAGTTCAGGATACTGAAGAAGGCTAGGAATGAGGATAGTGAGGTGAGTTTGGAGATCAATGAAGGCTCAAGGCAGCACTCTTGAGGTTGAGGGCGTGCAGACAGTCGCCACTACATGAGTTTTGGTGTCTCACAAATCAGCTTTTGATGGGCTTTATATAGCACTTTGAAGATTGTTATTGAGCTGTGCAGCTAGCTACAGTATAGGCTAAGAACCAATCTTTTCTTCCAGACTAAAATAAGTGCAGTTTTTAGAGCCTGCAAGTGTAGCAGGCTTGATTACTGAGCCCGGTACATCATATGCTGGCCCACTTCACCTGCAGATTGACAAACATGTCCTTATATAGTACAAGTCACTTGGTTCTTCCACAAGCAGATGCAGGTAGAAAGTACCCCCTGATAAATGGTGCTAGCTTATCTCACACGATGAAGGTCCACCCACAAGCCAAGATTCTAAAGCCATCCCACCAAAGGGTAGTGGGCAACAAAGGGATGCATACTGGCTGTCCCTTATAGAAAGGACACGGCCTTGCTCTTGATCTAGGCAAACATCAAGCATCAGGGCACGTGTCCTTACTTCCGAATATAGAACTTTGTAATTGATGCCATTGAGTGATATCAGGGCGTACAACTCAACTTTCTTTGGTTGGCTCTCAACCTAAAGCATGTGTTAGCATAGTGCGCAATACTTCACAGCTGATGCCACTTAATGACATGGCAATGTACAGTTAAACTTAATATCATGAATTATTACATTTGGAAATTCAGTCAACTAATTAAAGCCACCTAGTACACCAGAAATGTAAGTTGCTTCAACATAAAACAGCTATGCATTCTAGAAACTAGATGAATGAGATACTTTATAATGCACACCGAAGTATTTGTTTTGTTTGGCCAACAATTCCACTAAATTTGCAAGGGATAAGCAGCTTTTTACCTTCCACCAAACATAACCAGACGCTACTACAATGACAATAACAATTATACCATATTTGCTGGAACCTGCATAAGATAAAACAAATAAGCTAATGTTATGGAACTATAACAAGACAAGCCCAATACACAAATTTTTCCAGTAAGATACGGAGCTTTACATTCAATAAAATATATATACAGGTTCTTTCTAGAAGTTGTTACCTGATGCATGAATTAAATAGAGATGGTTTTATTCAGACTTTCTGAGGTTTCAAATAGCAAAATGATAAAGACGAAATGGAAACTCAAGGAGAATTTCAGTGTCAATTGAAAAAACAAACTTCAGATACATCACAGTTGACTGCACTTCTTTAATATCGTTGCTAAAATTTCTCAAGATAAAGAGGCTCCATTCATTTCCTCATTAATGGTTTATGGAAGAAAATATTGTGTGAAACATACACAAAACCGGTATTTGCGCCAATTTCTTTGTGTTTGGTTGGAACATAAAAATACAATCATAATTATTAAATTCTAGATTCTCAAGATCAGGTTTCCATAAAATTGGGCAGAAATTCTGTAATGATGATGATACTTTATGACCACCTTGACAAAAGTAAAAGAATTAGCAGCAAATGATAGCTGAATTACTTAACTATCTCCCCTCCCCCAGGGAGGCCCATGAAACAAACACAGACACATGAAAGAGAGAGAGAGAGAGAGAGAGAGAGAGAGAGGCTCTGGGGAAAAGAAAAAAAGAAAAAGAGAAAAACTTTATATAATTGCATTGAAAGTACATTATGCAATGGAAATGCATGAATTGTTTCCATGCACGTGCACAATTTTCTGAGAAGGTATTTCTGTATCAGGTTTGCAGCACATTGAAGTACATACAGTCCAGTGATATGAAATGAATTTTTAAAGATAACTCATACAGAGTTACAATGGCTAAACAAATTATTCACTTTATTACATATGAGAAGGCGTTATAACTCCAACCTGAACCACTTGATGTTACAATTGTAATTGGTCTATTTGATGCCAATAGTTGCAGCTCCTGCCGCAGGCTGTTAACCTGTAAAAGTACAATGTCTATCACTCTCTGCAATTAGAAATTCTAAGAAAAGTTTCTAGTAGGATGAGCAACAAGGCAGTTCAATATGTTAAAATGCTTAGCACATCTGAAGAAGAAGCAATTCTATAAACTTGTAAACCTTAAAATACTGAAAAATCAATTCCAATAGAATAGACACGTCACAATGAAACAAATTCCTATGGCACTATGCCACCTGTATACTATAAACTACTACCAGCAACTCCAATAAACACATAAAACAGGCAACGAAAGACCTACTACAAGCTAAGGTAAAAATCCTGAGGATTGAAATCAACAAGTTGCAAGACACCTGTATTGAAATCTTGTAACACTTGCCTTTAGGAACTAGAATTTTAGAAAAACCTTCAGATTGAGAAAAATTGAGGCTACTGAAATCAATAAAATTATGCTGCAAATGTGAGCTCTGCACTGGCTTTCCATAGCAATAAAAAAAAAAGGAGATGTACCCTCAGAGAGTTACCAATGGCAGCTTCATGTCTATAACACACATAAAGTCAGAAGCAGATGAAAGGAGGTTTGTCCATTTAATCTTACTGATCCAGCTTAATAAATTATTAATAGCACAATATGCAATCAAGCGAAAAAGGAACTGTCTTGAGGAAGTCAGAGCTACTTTCTACAAAATTTTATCAGAAATCCGCGAACTTGAAATCACAGAATACCAAGATTCCCCAAGAGGCAGGCACCGGATATTTCTTCAGTAAAATCTAAAAAAATAGTAAAAACAGATAAATTCACAGCCAACAACTTTCAGAGTGCGTAGTAAGAGAATAGATAGATCACAATGGTTCTCGTGCTCGAAAAACCAACCCATGCGGGAAAATAACTAAATAAATAGGCATGCATAAAAAGACAAGAGAAACATGCGAACCTGTGACATCAACGAGTCATTTCGCGGCTTTGGGCTTGATGGTGTAGAGTCATCGTGCCTAATTTGCTTCAAAACAATCTGTGTAAAAGAAGACAATTATGGAACTCTCTCTCTCTCTCTCAATAACAATAGAACTTAACCAATCTGCAAGATACACAGTAAAAGGCGAAGACAAAAAGACTTCAGAAACTAAAGTACCAGTTTTGAAGCAGTCAAGACAAAATATACCTTGAAGGCCCCTGAGCAAAAATCAGAGACAGTTGAAAAGCGTCCTTCTTTTGCTAGAACAGACCCGACAATACCTAAAAGGCAGTTCAATTGCACAAATGTTAGTCAGTCTAACATGCATCATGAAATCCATCTGGCATTTGGTATTTTTAAACCAAGCTGCAAACAGTAGGGCACTGAACCAGTAAAGGATGTAGTGTTTAATCCTGAGCAGCATCATTTAATTATTTTCTTAAAATGTAGATGCATAAAGTTTTAAGGGGGAAAAAAAGTGTTGGATGGCAATTCAAAAGTATAATTTTGTTTTGGACTCATTCTGTGGCTTTGTTTTTAAAATTAGACAACTATTTTCGAAAAAGCCAATTAAACAGTGGTAAAGCATAAAACACTCTCCGGATAACTCCACACTACTGCAGTGAGAGAAGAAGAACCATGAAAATTGAAATGCTATACACAGAGAGAGAATATCATCTATATCCTTGCAAAATATCAATCGACAACTAAACAATTTTCATGCACACCTAAAAGATTTGGCCACTAGCCTTGGCAAACTTCAGCAGTAAATCCATAAAGCAAGTCTAACAACTGAAACCAATCAAAAATATAACAGGCACATGGGTAGTCACTCTGGTTCTTTTGCCGGGTTTGGACAAAACAAAAAATATAATATTGAGTCTATTGACACACGCATCTCTTGTCCCAACATCATCTACTCTCACAAAAATTTCTCAATAAAAACACTAGAAGGTGAAAAATGCACCATAAACACCTAAAAAAAAATCCATTCGCAAAAATACTGCACTGTCTGGTGCTCATCATTAAAACTAGAACTAGAAAGTGTGATTCAGTACTGAGATTACGAGATTCACCCTCTGCGCCTTAAGCCCAATCCAAAATACCTAATTTTTTTACTAAGTTTTGCGGCATTGACTCGCCGTCCGTTGCACAAATATAATTACAAAGATTGATAATTGTCGACACTTCACCCAATTGACAGAGCAACAGTGAACAACACAGCGCAAAAATGACTCAACTTTTACACAAATAACAAACCCAATTCACATAGCTGAGAACAAGCACTACCCACATCATAAAAATCAATGCTAAGTTTCGTAAATATCAACAATTTGATTCTCGCTCGAAATACTAATTAAAAGCCCTAAGTTTTCTTCTCGCTATGTAAATAAAACTATATTAAGCCTAAAACTTGAGAAATTTATAAGAATAGATAATCGAAAACACATAGGAATTAGGTATATAAAGAGCAAGAATCGAAGCTATATTGACCGGTATATGTATGCATATGAGAGTAGAGACCTGCACCGATGAGGATGGTGAGCTTCCCGAGAGGAAGGGCCATCGACGATGAAACGATGGTTAGAGCGAATCGGAGAGAGTATTAAGCATGAAAGATTCGTAGAGAATCGAGAGAGTTGTAGTGGTGACTCAACCAGAGATTAGTGAACTTCGGAGAACAAGGCTTCGAAATTCTATTCTCTTCTTTCTCTCTCTCTGTTTGGCAGAGGTTAAAAATAGGGTTTTTTTTTATATATAAAAAAATTATGTTTTTTTTTAAGAAATTGCAGAAAAATAGAAAATTTGACAAATAATTATAAAATATGTGAGAATCAAAACTTATTACAATGTGTATGAGAACCTAAAAAATAATTTTAAAACTCCATTTTCATATACAGCTGCGATTGAGGCCTCGAAAATGAGGCTCGAAATTGCCTCGAATGTCATTTTTTTTTTTTTCTGGGCTAATTCATTGCAAAAAAAATAAATAAAAATAATAATAATAATAACAAGCAAAGCATCAACCCAGCAAAAAATAAATAAATAAATAAATCAAATTTGAGCCAAAAAAACTTATTTATAATTATTTTTTAAAACTTACTTTGTACTGCAAGTTTCCGTAATTTCAAAAATGTTTCCATATATATTGTTATATATTTTGATTTCCATCTATTTTGCAATCTTTTTATTTTTCTATAATTTTTCCAAAAATATTTCCCATGTTTTCTACCCTTGAATGATTTAAAAAGTTTTTTTTAAAAAAATTAATTCATTAAAAAATCATTTTTAAAAAAAAAATACTATTTTTTGTTGTTAGTATACTTTTTTATTATTATTATTATTTGTTTAGATTCTTTTAGTTTATTGGGATTTAAAATGAGAATTTTTTTGCAATTTTTTTAAAAATTTGATAGAAATGAAATAAACAAAAACAAAAAATTGCTAAAAAAATATCAAACTAAATACACATCTTTTATTAAAATTTGTAACAATTATACGGTCTTTTTCTTCATTTCAAACTTCTAAAACCCTAACCCTAATCCTAACCCTAATCCTTCTTTACTAGCCACTACCCACAACCACTAATTCTGCCCGCCACCTTCCAAATCTTGTCCCGACACACCACCCATGCTTCACTCTCTCTGTAATTCCTTGCGTGTGTAACTGCCACCGCCGTTATCTCCCTTCTCTTATTGTTCTTCACTATTTCTTCTTCTTACTTTCTTTATTGCTTGTAAATCTCTCTCTCTCTCTCTCTCTCTCTTGCCTCCCAATTTTTCCCTTTCTATCATAATTTCAATATCAGATAGGGAGGGTGACTGGCTAGTCAAGGCTGTAGGGCAAGTAAGAAGAGGTTAGGGGTGGCAAGAGAGAGGGAGTTGACTATTGCATGACTCGTGGGAATTATTTTGAACTTTTATTTGATGGTTCAAATTATTCAATTTTTAAAAAATATCGAGTAAAATATATATATAAAAAGTTAAATTAATCGAATATTAATAGACTCTTTATCAACTCGCATTTATATTCGGTTTAATACTTACATATTTATTTTTATATATATACAAATGCGAGTTGATGAAGGGTTTATCGATATCGAATCAACTTAATTTTGATTTTTTATAAGTATATTCTACTTGATATTGTTTAAAAATTGAATGGTTCGTATCATCAAAATAAAAATGAATATAATTCCCATGAGCCGCACAACATTTACTGTTGTGCAAACCGTATAGTAATGACTCCTGGTTCAAGAGGGGGTGGTGAGTAGTGGTTGGGGTAGGGTTAAGATTTGAGAGAATTAAGGTTAATTTTGATATTATGTAATGTGTCTATAGAAATTTATCAATCTTTAAAATTTTTAAGTGGGATCCATAAAGAACATGGAGATCCAAAATATATAAAAGATTGAAGATAGAGAGAGGACAATAAAAGACAGAGACTGGGAAAGAGAATCACATATATAATAGAGAAGTGTTTTGAGAAGTTGGTAAAACGTTGACTTTTTAACTTTTTTAGTCTATTTTATCTTTTTGTGAATAAAAAATATGAGAGGTAATGTGACTCAAAATGGGTAAAAAGTCAAAAGCGGCGTTTTTAGCTCTTTCCAAAAGAGTCCAGAGAGGTTGTGCTTGATCACTGGTGCTTCGTCGAAGCTTGAGGTGTTGATCCCATGTGAGTACTTGGTTTTGTGGTTGTGATTTGGTTGTCGATTGTTTGGTTTTATTGAGGAGGACTTTACTTTTGGGAGTATTGAGATTTCATGTAATGAAAGGGATATATAATTTAAGTGAGGAAGAAAATATCAATAAAAGATGATGAATTTAGTAATTGCCAATCATGCGGTGATGAATGCTCCTATTAATTATTTTTTTTGTGAGAGGGTAATTTGTAAATAAATTGAGCCGAGCTAGGAAGAGTCTTCTTTGGGAGTTAGACCACGTAATGGGCCGAGATAAGGGCTGGTGTAGCTCGGTCTTAGGCCAAGAAGACATCTCATATTTTGGGTTTGGACTGAACTATGGACCGAGGTATCGGTAGAAAGAGGACCGAGCTAAACGATAGCTCTGCAGGGCGTCATCTCGAAGTCAAGACTGATAGTAGTGCTTAAAGTATCACAGAGCCGAAGTAACTTGGCTAACCGCAATGTTAGCTGAGGTAAAGATGTCAGCCGAAATAAGTGGGCCTGGTGGTTAGCCGAGGTATTGGTGAGAAAGGATGTCGGGCTTGGTATAGCTCGGCCGGTCTTGGTATAACTCGGCCGGGCGCCATCTACATCATTACTTAAGCGTGTGACTGGGGTAACTTAGCTCGGTGTGGTTGCAGCAGCTTATTAAAAGGAGGTAGCATCAATGGTGAGGGCCGAGCTATGTATAGCTCGGTAGGGTGGCATCCGTTAGATCGGCTTTCGATCACACGATCCGAAAGGCAAGGGACCGAGATAAATCAGTTCGGGCAGAAATGTATAACCGAGGTAAAAGGTTCAGCCATCTTACTTGGCTTGCAGTGATGAGACTTCTAGTAGGACTCTGCTAAGGAGGGTTAGAGTCCTACTGGGATTGTGTAAACCATCTCACTTGGTTGGTAGTGAGTAGGAGTATGACTCCTAGGAGGACTCTACTAAGGAGAGTATAGTCCTACTAGGATTGTGCAAAGCCATCTCACTTGGTTGGTAGTGAGTAGGGTGTGTGATTCCTAGGAGGACTCTCATAGGGAGAGTTAGAATCCTACTAGGATTGTGTCAAAGTAAAGTCTATAAAAGCTCAGGACCAGACCTTTGTACAGGTATCCCAATTCTTACTCTAGAATACACAGAGCTTATTGTCTATTGTCTAGTTGCTGACTTAGGCATCGGAGGGGTTTCCGGCACACACCCGCCGGATAAATTGACCCAAACTTAGTCATAAAATAAATGAAAAAAAAGGTCCAGCTTGTCTCATGTTTGAGATCAAGTCTAGACCGTTCAATCTAGCCCATGGGTCTATTTTTTTGTCCCGTTTTGATAATCCGAATCGTTCAATGTGTAAAATTTATTGAGTATTATATTCCTGAAAAACATCACATTGATCGGACATCGATAGTTATTTGATCGGATTAAATTTTTGTCAACCGTTTATTTTTTTCACAGTCCATTTTTTTATTCAAATCTAATCCGATCAAATAGCTATAATATCCGATCAAGTGATATTTTATAAAAATATAATATTCGACGAGTTCTACATATTTATCAATTTTGATTATCAAAACAGGACCCAAAAATAGACTATGGACCGAACCAAATGATTCAGTTTTCATCTCAAACATGAAACAAGTTGAATACTTATATTCATGTGTAGATGTTGCATGTAAAAGATATTATGATGGTCATTTTGTTATATTTTATTTATGGCTTAATGTGTTATCACTGTATTAATATAAATGATTGAAATTTTTTAATTAAAATAAAATATGATCTTAGTATAAAATTAATTCAGATATTATATTATAATATTAAGTATTTTTATCTGAATTTATTATGATCAAATATGACCATTTGAGAGGGTAATTTGTAAACAAATTGGGCCGAGCTAGGAAAAGCCTTCTTTGGAAGTTGGGCCGCGCAATGGGCCGAGATAAGGGCTGGTATAGCTCGGTCTTAGGCTAAAAAGACATCTCATATTTCGGATTTAGGCCGAACTATGGGCCGAGGTGTTTGGGCTTCGCAAATTGGACCTCGTCCTTGTTAGTTCGGTCGGAGACTGCTGCAGTTACCTCGGTATAAAGAGAAAAAATCGAGGTAACATCAATAGCGAGGGCCGAGCTGTGTATAGCTCGGTAGGGTGACATTCGATAGATCGACTTTTGATCACACGGTCTGAATGGCAGGGGACCAAGATAAGGCAGTTCGGTCAGAAATGTATAACCGAGGTAAAGGGTTCAGCCATCTCACTTGGTTTGCAGTGATGAGACTCCTAGTAGGACTCTGCTAAGGAGAGTTAGAGTCCTACTGAGATTGTGTAAACTATCTCACTTGGTTAGTAGTGAGTAGGAGTATGACTCCTAGGAGGACTCTGCTAAGGAGAGTATAGTCCTACTAGGATTGTGCAAAGCCATCTCACTTGGTTGGTAGTGAGTAGGGTGTGTGATTTCTAGGAGGACTCTCATAGGGAGAGTTAGAATCCTACTAGGATTGTGCCAAAGTAAAGTCTATAAAAGCTCATGACCAGACCTTTGTACAGGTATCCCAATTGTAAAGTCTATAAAAGCTCATGACCAGACCTTTGTACAGGTATCCCAATTCTTACTCTAGAATACATAGAGCTTATTGTCTATTGTCCAGTTGCTGACTTAGGCATCGGAGGGGTTTCCGACACACACTCGCTGGCTACCTCACATTTGTGTTTTCAGGTAACAAAGCAACGTTGTTTGGAGGAGTGCAAACTTAATCAACAGGATCATACAAGAAGAATTATTTCGTGCTCGTACACATGACCATATGTAAACATTGTAAAGTCAAACTCACCATTACATAGGTTTCATTTTTGTCTCAGTATTGAGTCATTCACATGATGTACATGTAATAGGATTCATAAACATAACAAAATCATGGTTGTCTAAAATTAAGGTTAAACAAATTCCAATTTTGTTTCACTCAGGCCGGCCTTGAGATTTTTAGGGCCGAAAATCAATAATCAACTAACAAATTTTTGGGCTTTTCACATTTTTTTTTTCATTGAATGAAAAAAAAAAAATTTGAAAGTAAAGGACAAAAAATTTGTGTCAAAATCACAAAAAATATTTAGCATTACATTACAATAACTAATAAGTATCGCTTGATCCTCACACTTCTTGTATTTTTAGAAGCAAATAAATCAATCATACTTGCATAATTTAATTTTTTTACAAAATCATTTTCAATGAATAATAATGTTAATTATTTTAAATAGGCCTTTCAATTTTTTAATGGATTAATTTATTTTAAGTTAATTTGGGCATTCCTTAATTTTTTTTGAACTTAAAATATACTTAATATATTAGACTAAACTATAATAAGAGAGACTCCTTTTTTTGGATCTATTTTCAATGGATAACAATTCTAATTTTTTTGAATGGCCTATCAATTTTTTAATGGGTCAATTTTTTTTAAGTTAGTTTGGACATTTTTTAATTTTTTTATATTTAAAATATACGTACTATATTACACTAAGGGGTGGTTTAGGATGATCTAAATAAGTGTACTTTTTGACTTTTTATGAAATATAGATTGAGTATGGATTGGATTTGAAGTGATGTGTTAGAGATATGATGTGACTTAAATAAGATGATGTGACTTAAATAGAATAGTAACTTTTTGATTTTTTAACTTTTTTAAATCATACCAAACATGACTTAAATTATAATAGAAAAGACTCCCTTTTTTGAGCTTAGGCCATAGCCTTGTGACCTATGCCCTAGGGCAGCCCTGGTTTCACTTGAAAGGGGCATTCATTTGCAAGTCTACTTTCATTTGTTCTTAATTTCCTTAATAATAGATTCCATCCGCATAAGTCAATTGAGTTGTTTCAATTAATGGAGACTTGTAACTCTTATGTATAAAATAATAAGTTTAAACTTTAGGGGTAGATCAATAGTTAAATATTCAATACCAGACTTCTTGATATTATTTCAAAGATTTGGTCCAATAATTACTTTATATACGTGAGATGGAAAATTACAGATACCCGAATTAGTCAAAGGGAGCCAAAATATAAAATATAAATAATCCATATATGATCATTTTAAATAAACCTACCCCAAGCTTAAGGCATTTCTAAAGATGATTTTTGCACTGAACTTGGAAAGTACTTTTAGATAAGGCAATTGAATGTTTTCCAATAACGTAAAAACCCCTACGGGAGAGTAGTTGTAGATATTGCTAATTCGTTGTACAAGTTATTTATAAATCCCCCTCTTCCCATTTTGAATTACAAATATATTTGTCGAATTCACAATTTTGTACAGGACATTCCTCTGAAGGTTCAAATCCTTCTCTTTCCATCCTGATTACAAAGATTTTTGCCGAATTCACTATTGTGTGTAGGACATTCCTCCTATTTTCAGTAATGCAAATCTCATATATCTTACATGATAAAGAAAAGACATAGAAACAATCTAAATTAACTATTGTAAGTTGTACCTAAGGTCCTACAAGCATACATGATGGCACATTTTATTTCAAGCCTAATTTGAAAGTACATGTTTTACTAAATATTTTTTGTCTCTGCAATTTGTGAGCTTAAAAGGTAGAGTAAATTTGCATCTGACTCAAAATATGCTCAAAATTATCAGTAGACTTTTCAATTGGATGCGAATGCATCCCATCATAAGTTGTCACCACTACTCCTGCGTCTTTAGATAGTCGTTGAACTTGCTTCTTAACATTGCAACCTTGATGAGTACATCGATAATAGCTTCTACAAACAAACAAAAAAAAAACAAGTTAATTGTTGAGCACGAATCAAAATCTTTAAATTTCAACCAAAAACTTGAAAGCCACATCTTTAAATTATATAACAATACTTTTTGGCCATGTCTTTTAAGAATGGGTCCCAACAGCGTTTAAACCATTGGAAGCCACATCTAACCATTACAAACTAGAAAAAAGCATATCCAGTTTTTCCCTTTTTCTGTCTCTTTTTATATAATTTTTTCATTTTATAATCTTCTTGATCAAGTTTTTCACAATTGGAGGACCAGGAAAAACAAATGCATTAGCAATTCATGAAGCGAAATTAGATTAGCATTCTCTCCTCCTTGTCTTACTCATTTGGGACATTTGGGAGATGCATTCGGTATATAGTGCGTAAGTTAATTTTGTCAACTTTTTTATCCATAGTTTTGTCATGATAACACAATGATTATAGGAAAAGATAAGGAAATTGGCAAACATGTAAGATATGTTAATTTGAATCATGAATTTATAAGGTGATTTATAAAAAGCAAGAAAATATAAAAAGAAAAGGACTTTAATATATCCATGATCCAAAAACATATAGCAATTTGTTAAACTTCAATCTAAGTTTATCCATTCATGCCTTACAACCAACTATCAATTATCACCACCTAATTATATTCAATGTGCAAGTATTTAACCATTACATGTTCCTAAAAAGGCTGAGTTTGAATTAGAGATCTGGGGAGAAATTTAAGAAAAATAAAAATAAAACGAAATAGAAGATTTTTTTTTTATTTGATTAATAATTCATCCACTAGCCCAAATTCGAATTAAAGATTTGATGAGAAATTTAAGAAAAAGACAAGAAAATGAAATAGAAGATTTTTTATTTGATTAATTATTCATCCACTGAATTTATTTAGCCCGAATTCGAATAAAGATTTGAGCTCGAATAAGTCTCTTCTCGAGAAGAGATTGGACAAATCCAAACTAAACAAATTCAGTGCACCGGTGTTTTTATGTTTGGTTACTTTTCATTTCATTTTTTTTTCTCTTTACAAATCGTCCTCAAAATATTAATCAAAACACAACTTAAATGTTCATTAAATGTGATGCTTAGATTCAAGTCTCATCGAGTGGCCTTTATCAATTGTAAATAGTAAAAATAACAATAAATAAAATTAAAAAAAAAAAAAGAAAAAAAAGTAGAATTATGCTCATGAACTAAGTTGTATAAAGAAAGTGGTGAAACGGTTGATCATATCTAGTAACTAAATTCTAGAAATCAAAGGTAACAAAGATGATTCATGATAATTGCAACAAAAAGAGGATATATAAGAAATCAAAGGGCATTATATATGTGTGTGTGTGTGTGTGTGTGTACCTTGGAAAGATGTTGTTCTTGACAGCTTTCTGTCCATACTTCCTCCATCTATACCCATCATCCAGAATATCAACTTGGCTCCTTGTTTGAAAAGCATATCTAGGTTTCCTAATCTTCGTATCTCCCTTTTTCTTACCTGATGATGACTTTACTTCATTAGTTGCGGTCCCAACAAACCTTTGGCTTTGAGAAACATCATTAACTCGTAAATTTGGAGCACCCATGTTTGTCATCAATCCCAAAAACCCATTTGGTTTGTGAGCTTGAAATTCAGTATAAGCATGGGAATTCACCATGTTTAATGATAAGTCAGAGGCTGATGATGTTGATGAGGATGAACACGGAAAGATTGCTTGATGGTTTTCCATGAGAGAGAGAGAGAGAGAGAGATTACTATTAGTGTAGAGAAGAACAAGAAGAAAATGGTTGGTGTGGTCAAGAAGCAACTGGGATACAAATAGGATTTGAAAGTTGGAATAGGAAAGGCGGCTTGGGTAGAATTTCGTGGAAGTGCCTTATCAGTTGCTTGGTGTGAGTTTAATTCTTCTCCGCTGTGTAAGTTTTGATTTAAACGAAGTTTATCTTGGAAGGTCGGGACAAGCTTACAGGTTATAGTCTCTTGCTCGGAACGAACAACAGGATACCCTGGTGATCTCCTCAAAGGGCGCTGCCTTGGACCTGCGGGAGAGTGAGAGGATTTTCCTGTAACAAAAAAAAAAAAAAAAGAATTTCGTGGAAAAAATATTATAAATAAAACCAATAATATGACAATATATTTTAATAAATAAAAATTACATTTTTAAATTTTTTATTTTAAAGTAAGAGATTTATTACCAAAAAAATTTGTACATCATTTTTTTCATACAAACTGAAAAAATATATCAAAAAATTTGTACAAAAAGATGTGATTACATTGTGACTTATCACTTCAAAACAAATAATTCATAAAAAATTATTATTACTTACATAAATGTGATTTTTTTGTAGCATTTTTTTTTTATTCATGCTGATATCTTTATCGAAAAAATTACAAATAAACAGAACAATGAATAATAATTATGCTATAGATCTAATATTTGTTTTGTACAATTTTAATTTAAAAAAAAGTACTTACAGCAAGTACATAAAGAATAAAATGTCTCACTAGTTTACAATTTAATTGTGTTAGAAACTCCTGTACATATATATAATCTCAGTAACCTTCATTTTCTTCCCAACTACTTATAATGTGAGACCCTTATATATATGTATAGACTCCTCCCCCTCCCCCCAATCAAAAACCAAAATCAAATTAGCCTCTGTTTGAGAGGTGGGTTGGCTTTTTAGCTTTTTGACTTTTTTAATTATTTTAGCCTGGGCTAAAAAACTTGGTTTGGGAAGAGCTTTTTGACTTTTTGACTTTTTTGATTTTTTTTGTGAGAGAAGAGTGTAATGATTATGAATTAGATGTGATGTTTTGTTTTTTGTGTCTAAAATAACTTATTTTATCTTTTGTGACTAAAATAGCCAAAAAATCCGGAAAAATCCTTCCCAAACGGAAGTTTAGGAGTCATAAAATTCTAAAAAAAAAATCCCACACATTTCTCTTTACAATTTCTCCATCTTTATCCTGGGTTTATGCTTGTCGTAAACGGCACGAAAATAGGCAATGGTGCTGTTAATAGGACAAATATGTAGGTATTTTTCCATAAATGTTTCGTCAGAAAGTAATGGAAAATTTGGCGCTTATCTCGCTTGGGAATAAGGGGTTGTTTGGAGTGTTTTAAATAAGTGTATTTTTTATTTTTTTGGATTAAAAAATTAAGAAAAAAATTATGGATGTTTAGGTTAATTTTTTGAATTTTTATGAAAAAATGTGTATTAAAAAATTGTATAAATTAGTATGTAGGGAAAGTTATGGAGAGTAGGCAATATAGCCCGTACCATCTGGACAGGGTGATTTGATATAAGAAATGATTGTCTCCTTTTCGGGCATTGCATTGGACAGTGTTGTTCAGCCTGTGGGGGCCCAACACGAGTCCCATTTTGCTAATCAGAACCGTTCAATGTGTAGAACTCATCGACTACTATATGCTGGTAAAAAATCACATTAATCGGATATCGATAGCTATCTGATCGGATTAGTTTTTTTTTTCAACCGTTAAATATAACACCATCCATTTTTTCATACAAAACTAATTTGATCATGTAATTAGCGATATTCGATCAACGTGATTTTTTACAGACATATAGTACTCGACGAGTTCTATACATTGAACCGTTTAGATTATCAAAACAGGACCCGTGATGGGCTCCCATGGGCCGAACAGTACTGTGTTGTTTGTGCACCCCGCCTGTGCAATTTTTCCAAAAAAATCAGCGAAAGTCTGTGGGATGTCAGACTGAGTTGTAATAATTTTTGTGTAAAATTAATTTTTAAATTTTTTTTTGATGAATAGTGATAACTTTTTAACTTTTTTAGTATTTTTTTTGCTTTTTGAATTATTTGGGGTATGCAAACCAGCCCTTAGTTTATTGGTTGGTTAGGCTTTGCGACTTTTTAACTATTGTGGATTAACAGTCTATTTCAGGACATAAATATTTATTATATTTTTTAATTACTTTCCTATTGATTGATAATTTTTTTTAAACAAATTAATAAATTTTAAACTATAAACCAATCGATGGCCAATTTTGTCAGCTAACCTATTCAACCCAAGCTCATCTTATCAAATTCCACAAATTAGTTTAGAATCAATTTGATTTGAATTGAATTTTTTTTTATTACATCAATATTATAGAAATAATGCTATATGCACTAATTAGTGTATCAATTGATGATTTAGCATAATTTAAGATATTTTTGGTATTTGTAATTTGTATAATGGTGGTACATGCATATACTAACTAGTGTACCAACACTAGTTATGAATCCTTGGGGAGTGATGATGAAGTAGATGGTGAAGAGTATTAGGTTTTTATTCCTGACAATCCCGTTTGACAAAACTTCTTTCAGTTGTAATTTTGTTCGATCTTTTTATTTTAGTAAGGTTATGAGTTTTAGATGCGAATCCAACCCAAATTGTGCCTATGCAGAGAAGTTTGTGATCTTATCCTATCAAATTTGCCACTTCGCTGACTATATCGGAGATCGAGCTGCCTGGCCAGCTCGCTAGGGTCTAGGGGCAGTGCCCCTTGGCGGGTCCAAGGTAGCGCCCCCGAAGCTGGAAGCAAAAAGGGTGTTTGGCAAGAAAAAAATAGCTTAGTTTAGGTTAAAATTCATAAAAAAATAAAATAGGTTAAAATAGTTAATAAAATAAAATATCACATTAAACTCATAATTATTTCACTTTTTCTCTTACAAACATCACATCCAATCATAAAAAAATCTAATCATCTTTCTAAATATAAAAATTTTAACCTATTAAAATAGTTAAAAACTAAAATAATCAATTAAAATAACAACTTCCCAAACGAAGTGGGCTTTAGCTCTTGATTTTTTAATAAGGTGTTAGTAAGTACATTATTCATAAATAATTTAGCCTCAGCATGCGAATTGTGACAAGCCGTCCGTTGGTCAATTAGAAAATTTATTTATAGGCATGGTCAAAGCACGTGGGTTCAAATTAACCTGTGTTTTTCAATTTTTTTATTAAAATTAATTACACTAAAGTCAAGTTTGGCCATCATAAAATAATTTATCTTTTTATCTTTTTTCTATCACATCATTTCTTTATTTTTCTGTACATATTTTCATAAAAAGATAAAAAATATACTTATTTAGATCATTCTAAACAACCCTAAGAGTTTTCAATTATTATTAAATCTTATCGTATTTCTTTAATTATAAATTTATAAGTAAATTACACGGACACCTCCTAAGTTTTTATTTAATACAAGTCTCTCTCTCGTATTTGAAAAAGAGAAAAGTTAGAAATCATAATTTTTTTTCATGAAAATGATCATGAAAAATTTATGATCCTTGGATTACCTTGATTAGTGTGTGGTGCTTCATTCTAAATATAATCCAAGGATTACAAACCTTTCATGATTATTTTTGTGAAAGATTTTTCATGATACCTAACATTATTATTTGAAAAATTATATTTATCTTTCTATCAGATTAAAATGACATATTTATCCCTTAGTTCTTGTACACATAAAATAATACATATATTTTGTTCGTGTCATTTTAAGAAAAATAACAATCATCTTCTTTGATTTAACTCACATAAAAAATTAATTTTTTATTTTTTATGTTTTTCAATTTTACTGAATTTTTAAAATATTTAAGCAATTTTTTTTTTAGATACATTTAATCCATATATACTTAAAAATTATAATATTTTGTGAGTTTGTTTTTAAAATTCACCAAATACATAAAAAAATTCAATACATTATCTTATTTTGTTTTATTCAATAATTTTTTTTAAAAACGTTTTGTACAAATTTTATATTTTTTAAATATATCTAGATTAAATTCATCTAATCTAGGTATAATGGTGGAAAAAAAATGAAGAATTATATTCACATGTAAAAATTTAAACAAAAAAATATCATAACAATGTTGTCATGGTCATATTATTGTAAATATAAATCATGTTTATGGTTGTTTTGTTTTAAAGTGAAAGGTCACCGTTAAGTGATATCATTGTGCTTAAAAATTCTATGTAAACTTTATATTTGTATGTCATCACTAAATAAAAATATGTTTAGGTACAATTTAATAATGGAAAATTGTAAAATGTAATCACGATGATAAGAAGAAGAAATAGTAGAAAAAGTGTAAGATGGTCATTTAAACTTGTCTCTAATTGGAAATCAAGACTAGACTGTCCAATCCGGCCCGTGAGGCCATTTTTGGGTCCCTTTTCGATAATCCGAACCGTTTAATGTGTAGAACTCGTTGATACTATATTCTTGTGAAAAATCACATTGATCAGATATCGATAGCTATTTAATTAGATCAGGTTTCTGTCAATTTATTTAAATTTTTACTGTTCATTTTTTTACACAAAACTAATATGATAAAATAGCCATCAAAATCTGATCAATGTGATTTTTTACAGGGATATAGTACTTGACGAGTTTTACACATTGACGGTTCATATTATCGAAACAGGGCCAAAAAATGGACCCACAGACCGAAATCGACGATCCAGTCTTGATCTCCAATTTGAGACAAGTTGGACTGTAAAAAATTTTAGGGCATGACATGAGCAATCCAAGAGACAATTTGTAATGAGATTACAAACTTAGGGAGGGAAATGTAATTTTTTCAATGTGAGAGAAGGATTTGTATTAAACAGAAATCTCAGGGGGTGACAGTGTAATTTACCCTAAATTCATATATTTTAGGATAAATTACAAATATACCTCTTGATATTTGATTAAAATACGAATCGCCTCTGTGGTTTTGAAAATTACATTCTACCCCTTGAGATATCTAATTTT